CAGAGCCAGAGCAGAGAGTAGAACAGGCAGACTGACGAAATACACTGCTGAGGGGAGCATCGGTCGCGGCAGGAGAGGTCTGCGTGCCATGTGGGACCCTCGTGGTGGCCAGGGATCGAACCGGCGCTGCAGAGGCTGTGGGCGGCTTCACAGCCCAGCGTTCAACCGCTGCGCCACCAAGGGAGGCCCTGTGACTGGAATTTTAATAGGGAAATAAAATGACCAAAGTGAGACACTGTAGTGGCTCCTCAACCAGCTCACTCCAAAGCTTCCCAATACCCTTCCGACCTACAGAAACTGGAGAGCTAAAATACTACATTTTCATCATTAGTAAGAATGAAATATCACTTTTCATTTATGTTTGCAACAATCAGAAACTGAATTTTGCCAAATGTTGGCAAGGAAGTGGAGATAATGAAATGCTCATGGACTACCCTTGGAAGTGAAGACTGCCACACTAACTTGGAGAGTAAGCTGCCAGTACTTAATCAAATCAAGTATTTGCAATCTCTATGGCCTCGTAATTCTCTTCCTAGATATATTTCAAGGCATTGTCACACAGACCCATGGTGAAGTTGGCCCTGATCAGGGTAAAGTAAATTTAAATATATGTCAGTGGGAGAGAAATAAATTAGGTAAAATATATACTAGGAAGTGATTTGCTGCAATTAGAAATGAACAATTATCTTAGAAGGGCGCATGAAAAATTACTATATAAATTACAACAATAATTTATCATCACCATACCTCCTTCCTCCCACTCTCACTAAATGTTGCCATTGTAGTAACATTTTTTTTATCCAAACCAGAATACACTTTAGGATTCCATACATGAATCCTTATCCTCCACAAGCAAAGAGACATCCTAGCTGCAGCCTTCACCAGCTAAGCAAAGAGGTGAAAATATCAGAGATTTACTTCTGAATGGTTGCTAGCATCTGCCTTAGATCACTCAGCTTCCTTCAATTACCTGGACTTTTAGCAACTAGAAAATTATATTCAAAATGTGTGGAGTAGTTTCAATAGGAGCTGATTGTATTGAAAGATAACATAATGTTCCTAAAATTGTGGAAATACGTACTTGACTCTAAAAAATCTAGCTTAAAATGTTTGGCCAAATGCCCAAGCTCTGAGCAATGTTTGAGCTCACCTGGTCCTAAGACAATTTGTTCTTTTGTATAAAACGGCTAGAAGTCAAAGCTAAAAGCTTCATCAGAAATATAAATATGAAAAATGATTAAGAGGTACTTTGCCTAAATAGATCTCATAGTTTGAGTCAATAACCAATGAATATCAATATCATTAATTTTATCAAAATTGACCAGTGACCAGCACTAGACCTAAAAGAGTGGATATTATTTCCCTATGAAATAAAGAATTGCTAAAGTAAATTTATTTTAATAATGGGTTACAATGGATTTTATACTTAGTAGTTCAATATATTTTTTTTAACTTCATTGAAGATATAATGGAAACTTTTCAGAGCAAATCTGAATAGGCATTGCTATAAATATTCTCTAGAAAGCAAGAGGAAGTTTGGTACTTAGAATTAATAATGTATAGAAATAGGATTAGCCATATATTTTGAGGCCCTTGGGTTAACAAATAACAATAACTAATACATACTGAACATTTAATCTGTGCCTGTCTGATACTCTTCTAAATGTTTTATATGGGTTTCTTCATGTAATTCTCACAACAAACCTAGGATATAAGTATTATTGCTTCCTCCTAATTCCCTTCAAGAGAAAGATAAAATTATTTTCCTAAGATTACAAAGTTAGAGCAGAATTTGTCAATCAATCGGAATAAAAAGTACTAAATCATTCATAGTGTTCAGGGTTTTTACTTCTTAAGAATGGAGGCCAAGACATTCTAGTACTCTCTTCCTAAATACAGCACTAATCTAATCTCCCTATACTGGAAACTAGATAATATGTCTAATTATACAAAATTATGAGAAAGAACAATATATTGTGAATTCCATTATTATTACTGGTGAAAAGAAAAGGAAGTAACAGCCAAATGGTTAGATCTCTCACTATTCTGGGACCTGAAGTCAACCCTATAGATATCTTTATTATATCTTTTATTATATTTAACTCATTCCCCCCCCAGTATAAGCAGGACTTAATAGGAGAATGGTTATAATATGGAAGATTATCATTCTAAGTTTAATTGTTGAAGAAGCATTGAAGTCAGTTCATCTGGTGAATAAACACTGAACTAGTGAGCATTCTATTAGATATCATGAAGCTTTGCTAATGCCAGAAAAGTTTATTTCTTTCTTTTTAAAAAAAGATTTATTTATTTATGCATACAAGGACTGGGGTACAGGCCACAGATGTGGGGGCTGAGAGGATTTACCAGAGACAGAGTGGGGAACAGAAGATTCAGACTGACTGAAATACACTGCTGAGGGGAGCAGCAAATGAGACAGGAGAGGTCTGCTGTGCCATGTGGGTTGCTCCCTGTCAGGCCAGGGATCAAACTCGTGCTGCAGAGGCTGTGGATAGCTTTATAGTGCTGTGCTTAACCCCTTACGCCACTGGGAAAGCCCAAAGTTTATTTATTTCTGGTTAACTACCTTCATACAAGGCCAGTAATATAAGTACAATTATTGTAATATTGATCATAAAATAGCAATCCTGCTAGGTGTGGATTGAATGAAGAACAAAGATATAAACACAGACTAAATTGGATACTCACCTTTGTAATTACCTACCACTATAGCCAGGTACTTCCTGAACTTATGCTACAACAGGACCTGACCATATCTGGTGGCAGTAGCCACTGCATATTCTAAAACATTTTAAAAGGTAAGTACTCAACAATGTAATTGCTGGTAGACTGCACCACTGGACATTTTCCCAACATCTTTCTCACACACACACACACACACACACACACACACACACACAGAGGCCAGTTAGTTTTTTATCCCTTATACCTTCTATCTTATCTCCCCAGCCACTGAAATATAAATAGTGTGTCTTTGGGCATGCAAAATTGTGTATGTTTACAACCCTTGCAATTCCATTTATATTTTATTCTGTTCCATATATGAGCTAACATTTAACTTATTTTCATTTTTTACAGATGTCTTTGTAACAACTTCTCTGCGTCTTGCTAATACACTAAATAAACCCTCTTATAATTTGCAATTACATAAAGCCTATTGTGATCACCTCAAATAATAAAGCCCCAAGCTATCGCCCGGTAACTACTCAATAAGTACAATTTAAATTAAGTGAAATTAAATCTCAATTCAATAACTACTTTATTGGAATTTCTCAAAAGTCTGGCTCACCCATTCATTAATTTTTAATTTCATTCCAAAACCAGTATTTACCATAGTCCATTACCATTATCACAGTCCATAGTCCATTAGATGCAAGATCATCCCATTTGTTTCCCCCATAACCCCATAACCACCCCCCCTCCAGTCTACAGTTAGATATTTCTGGCTTGTTTTGGTTTAGTCGTGTCTATCCTTTTGTTTCCTTATATTCCACATATAAATTACGGTGATAAAGATTTATGGGTGCTTTGGGTGGTAGGTGTGGTGTGGTAACATATATGTGAAAAGATGTCAACCTATACCTCTATATCATAAATAATGTTGTAAAGCAATGTTAACTCAATAAATAATAATACAACTAAAAAAAAAACACGTGTATTTATTGAGTTGTTAATGTGTTACTAGTCATTGCACTGAGGACTAGTCACATTTCCAGTGAAAATCAGCTGCAATAATCTCTTTCCCCGGAGTGAATTACCAAAATAAATAAATAAATAAATACAATTAAAGTTGATCTGTTTCTATCATAGGCTACCAATGCTACTCTAACAATACCGACAAGTTCTAAAGATTCTTGGCCCAAAAGAAAACCTTCTGCCAAATGATGTTCCTGCTGCCAGCCCAGCTATCTTGTCGTTTGTCCAAGTCGCTGTGTAGTTGTGATCCACTTCACTTTACACACATCGCTGAGCATGGCTCTTGCCCCTGCCTCCACAGGGGCATTTGGTGGAGTTCTTGCATTTGACTCACAGAGCCCCCTCCCGAGGCTCACAACAAAATGCATCTCTCCGAATTCTTTCGAAACTCCCTCCTTCATCCTTTATTTCAAATAATCATGCTTCTATTGCCCTAACTCAATCTCACTTTCGCACTTCAGATACCCAGAAAGGAATCACACACACACACACACACACACACACACACACACACACACACACACCCCTTTGTCCTTCCTGAATCTGCAGCCCTGGAAGACACTCAGTACTCAGATACCCAAACTCCCTAGATCCCTCCAACCTCCCCCTTCCAAAAAACCTAGCAGTTGCAGGTGACACCTGGTGCTGGGTAAACCTGACATTTCCACAGGTCGGTGGAGAAGTCTTAACCCACCAGCCTCTCTCACGCACTGATCCCCTGAGAGGTCCAAGCCTCCTAAGCCCCAGTGGCCACCTCTCCCACACACCCCCCTTCTGAAACCACCGCTAATCAGGAGGACTTGCGCTAGACCAGAACCCACAGGAGGTGATCCTGGTCGTGTGCAGAGATGCCTTTATGTCCACCTGAGCTCGACAAGAACCTTTTGACCCACAGGTTCCGTGGAAGCAAAGCGAAGGAGGACCTAGGCGCCCAGCCTGTGCTCCAGAGTCCTCCCAGCCCTTGCCAGAAGGGAGCGCGGAGCCTCCAGGAAACTAGAGGCGCGAGAGGACACGATCAATAAAGTTGAGAAAGAGGACTGCGTGGGAACTGAGGGCTCCTGAGATGAAAGAAAGAGAAACGGTCGAGTGCACGCGGCAAAAGTGTAAATCGCATCTGCTGCGTAACAGAGGCGCGCAGGAAGCGCTTCTCGCACCGCCGAGTTATTCTGCTCCCGCCCGGGACACCCGTCCCGTCTGGGTTCCTGCGGGAATCGAACCTGCAGCAGGTCGGCTGAGAGGCGGGGAGCGCGAGGGGAAACCGAGGCTGGGGTGGGGGGACTTACGGAAGAAGATATACTCGGTGTAGCTGCTCCAGATCTTGTCGTCACGGTACTGGTTGACGAAGGCGGCGGTACCCGAGGAGTTACACGCCACCATGTGGAAGCCGGCCTCAGACAGGCGGTCGAACGCCTGCTCCAGGTAAGTGAACTTGAGGTAGAAGCGGGACGTGTACTTCTCGGGCGGCCTGTCGGGGTCGCGGCTCTCATTGAGCGTGTCCCCGAAGACCTCCTTGGCCAGCGCGATGCGCCCGCACACCATGATGCGCGCCACCCGCCGGAACTTGGCGTCCGCCTGGTTGTCGCGCACGGTGGTGTAGGAGCCGCGGTAGCCCAGCGTGAGGAAGCCCGAGCGCTTGTCCGGAGCGCTGCTGCCCCCGACGCCTCCCGGAGCGCCCCGCCCCGAGGGCGCGGCGGCGGCCGCCGCCCCGCGCAACAGCAGCGCATCGCTGCTGCCCTGCGAGACGTTGTCCTCCAGGTCGCTCTGGCAGCCCTCGTCATTGAGCGAGTTCTGCTTGATGACCTTGGGCGACAGCAGCTTGACCAGGTCGGTGAGCTGGAAGTACTCGGCCTCGCGCAGGAGCCGCTCCTTCTCGGGGAAGTGCTCGGGCAGCGCGAGCTGCTTGTCCCGCAGATAATCCAGCACGTACCTGAAGAGGAAACCGTCGCGGTCGATAAAGAAGCGCGCCCGGCTGTCTCTGGGCAGCTCGCCCCGGCGTCGGGCGCCGCCCGGGGGCTGGAGGGCGAGAACATGCTGGCCAGAGTGCTGTCCGGGACGCTGAGCAGTGTGGAGTGCTTGGTCACATAGACCTGGCCTCCAACGTTCAGCTCCACCACCTCGGGGAAGGGCGCGGGCGCGCAGGGCCCGGGGCGGCGGCGGCCGACGCGCCGGGCGAGCTGGACGAAGAGACCATCTCGCTAATGGGCAGGATGGTGCCGCCGCCGCTGCCCGTGTCCTTCAAAGCCATGGTCCCCCCGCCACCGGCCGGGTGACCCGGGAGCGCAGCACTTTCTGGTTCCCGGAGCGCGCGCCCTGCGCCCTGCGCCCAGGCGACCCCCGGCCTGGACTTGCGCCCGCTGCGCCCTCGGGCCGGGTGAAGCGCTGCTCCGACCCGGGCGGTGGCACTCAGGGCTCCGGGCAGCGGCGCCAGCGGCGCCCGGGCTCCATCGGGGGAGCGCCGCGCGGGAGAGGAGCTGCTGGCGCGCGCCGCGGTGGCGGTGGACACGCTAAGAGGAGCCGCTGCGCCTTTGGGGCGAGCGCGGAGAAGTGTAAAGAGACTTGCGAGAGGCTCTCGGCTGCAGCTCGCGCTCCGCGGAGAGGGCGGGAGCAGGGATCCGAGCAAAGAAAACTCGCCGCCCCAGCAGATTGCCAGCGCGCGAGCCGGAGCGCGGACGTTGGCGCTCACTACTCCTCGCCGCCGGGGAGGCGGCGCTGACGTCAAGCCCGGGGCTGGGACCCGAGCCACAGCTGGCGTTTAAAGCGGTAGGCGCTGGACGCGCGCGGCCCCGCTCGGACGCTAGGGGGCGGGGCTGAGCCGGGCTGGGGCGGAGCGGCTGCTGCGCGGCCAGCTGGAGCGGGCAGGGGACCACCCAAACACAGATGGGGTGCGGACTGCAATCCTGCTGCTTTCATTTTAGTCCCTCCTACCCACTTCTTTCTCTTTGTCTTCCTTTCTTAGCTCCCTACTGCACGTCGGTCCTGGAAGACTATTTTGGGGTTTGGGGTTTTTGTTTGAGCATTAAGGGGGAGGGGTGATGGGGCAGGGAGGTTGGGATTATAACAGATGTCAGGTTCCTGATCTGAAATTACTGCTAATGTTGTGCGAGCAGGTGACTACATGGAAGCTCTCTGGTGATGAATCTCTTGTGGTGGTGTTACTATAGTTTGCTTTTTTTTTTATTTTATGTATTTTTATATCACTTTTCATTTTTGCACAATGTATGCATTTTCTTTTTTTAAACATATGGAAACTGACTTTATTTTTTTAAGATTTATTTATTTACACAAACAAGAGCTGGGGTACAGGCCAGAGATATGGGGGTGAGAGGATTCACCTGAGACAGCGTGGGGAACAGAATAGGCAGAATGACTGAAATACACTGCTGAGGGGAGCAGTGGGAGAGACAGGAGAGGTCTGCTGCACCATGTGGGTTGCTCCCTGGCGGTCTGGGCATGGAATTTGTGCTGCAGAGGCTGCGTATTGCTTCATAGTGCGGTGTATAACCCCTTGCGCCACCAGGGAGGCCCACAATGTATGCATTTTCATCTTGGTTATAGTCCCCATACAATTCCCAACGGCCATGTTTTGATCCTACTCCCTCCACCCTCCCCCCCTGTAGTGTGTCTCTGGTTTATAGTTGCTTGTTGATTTTGATTTTTACTTTATTATCATTAGTCTTTTTCCTTGTCCCTTATTTAGGTTTTCTAAATTCCTGCTATGAGTGAGACCATCTGATATTTTTCTTTTTCTTTCTGGCTTATTTTGCTAAGCATGATCCAAAGGACACAGAAACATTAATTCAAAAGGGGCACCTGCACCCCTATGTTTATAGCAGCACTATTTACAAGAGCTAAGCTTTGGAAACAACCCAAATGCCCAAAAATAGATGACTGGATCAAGAAGATGTGGTACAAATACACCATGGAATATTACTCAGCCATCAAAAAAGATAAACTCATGCAATTTGCAGCAACATGGATGGAGCTGGAAGGGCTCATGCTCAGCGAAATATTACTATAGTTTTTGAAGTGAAGGGTGAAATGTCCAAACCTCTCTTAATAGCAGATGTTTTGATTATGTATTTAACAGCATGTACTACATGTAGCTCACTAATTTTTAGAAATCTAAATTTCTAAAAATTATTTCTGTTCACAAAACTAGTAAAGGATTGAATGTAACAGACTGCTTTCTTCTTTCATCTTTTCGGTAATTGATTCATAGTAGAAGCTTAATGAGTGTTTATGGAGAAAGGACTGAGCCAAGGAGGAAACTTCCTTTTTCTTCCTCTTTCCTCATCCTGATCATTAATCTCTCCACTTCCCTTTCAATTCTATATGGTAAGAAAAATGGCTTATGTTTTATTAGACTTCTAACCCCGAGTCAAATCACAAATGAAAATTATATCAATTTAAACTCACCTTAATTTCCATTTGTACAAAACAAAGGTACAGTCCATAAGATCAGCATAATTTGGGATAAGGCGCATTGATAGAAATGCAAATAAGAAATTTCCTTTCTGTTGTGGATATACATCCTGGGGAATCCGCGTGTGTTGAGAAACATAAAAAAAAAATTGATTTTAAAAATAAAAAAGTATACTAGAGCACAAAGTACTTTGCTTTAAAATGATCATAATATATTATATGGACTTTATTCATTAACATTTGATATAATATACACTTTTTAATGTTTTTGAAAAATTAAAAATGCTTACTTAGGATGTCATCTCTTTAACTCCACCAAAAAAAAATTGGATTTGAAATATAGTTCTAACCTCAAGTTTTTATAAATAATACATTATTCTTTGGAACATTACAACTATATTTATTTCATTGATCCTTATAAACCACATCCACAGAAGATATCTTATCAGTTTTGAAGTTAGATTATCTGAAACAGAGAAAGCCTAGTGGACCAATGAAATGACACAATGTATTTACCAAAGATTTAAAACTGAATTTCTGATATGCATCTTCATGCAATCCTCTTATTCAAGCCTGTTGGCCCTCCTCCGCAAATTTATAAACTGATTTATCAAATTAAGAAGTAGGATTGATTTTAGCCTTCCACATGTTAAAAAGTAAAATCAAAAAGCATTTGGGATTTAAAATAACAGTCCCAAGAAAAATGAATACAAGCTTTATAACCTTTACATATGAATAAATGATAATGCCTCAAACCACTACTAATGAAGCCCATTTATCATGAGGTAAATGCCCCTAATGATAAGATGGTATAGACCATCTTAGATGGAAATTTAATAAAGTGGTTATACAATAAATATGCCTATCTATATATGAATATGAGGTCCCCAATATTATCAGATTGAAATCAATTTTAACTGTTGTGATTATATAAAACATTCCTATAAGTCTAAAATACATATTCTGCATGAATCTTGTTAGATATTCCTAATGAATTGTGTGCATGATATATTGCTTTTAAAAATAGTTCATTCAATAGTGATTGAATATTTCTCTTTAATCCCCCCCTCCCTGCTCTCCTCTTAGTCTCATCACTCCCCAAGTATGACCCACCAAACTTCACATTGATCAAATTGCAGGTCCAGAATATCTTTCTCTGACATTTTTTCTGCTAGGAATGGCTTTCCTTTTCCACCAATTTCCTTTTCCACCTAACTCTTTCCCCTTGTTTATCTCTTTCCCTGAGGTCTCAGCTTAAATATAATTTCCTCTGGAAATCTTTCAACTTTTTAACCAAATCAGGTTAAGTTTCCTCCTAAGCTATGTGATCCTATACTTTTGTTTCGGGGTAGATTTTCTATTTACTCGTTCCATTTCTGTGATTGTGTTGGATTATTCAATATTCTGTTTCGTTTTTTTTTTCTGGATTAGTCATGGTAAACTGTATTCTTCTAGAAATGTCCATCTCTTCAGAGTTATCAAATTTATGGACATGTAGATGTTCACAATAATCTATTATGATAATTTTTACTTGTATGTATGTATTGTGCTTATTTTTCCTCTTTCATTTCTAATCTGTTTACTTATTTGTTAGCATACTTAGGGGTTTATCAATTTTGAAACTAAGAACTACCTTAGTTTCATTCATCTTTTGTATGGTCTTTTTAATTTCTACTTCATTTACTTCCGTTCTTATTTCTGTTACTTCCTTTCTGTGCTAACTTTGGATTTTGTTTGTTCCTCTTTTTCAAGTTGCTTTAAGTGTAATATTGTTTATTGGATTTTTTTCCTTGCTTGTTAATGCAGCTGTACTGCAATTATCTTCCCTCATAAGACCACTTTTGCTGCATCCCATAAATTCTGATAGCTTGTATCTTCATTTTCATTAGTCTCAAGGTATTTTTTTATTTCTACTTTAATTTCCTCTTTAATCCAATGGCTATTAAGCAGCATGTTGTTCAGTCTCCATGTATTTAAGGAATTTTCAGGATTTTTGTTTGTGTCTTAGCTTCTTTGTTTTGTTTTGTGGGGTTTTCAGAAGAGGGCTCTATTTCATCTGTAATTGGGAAATTTCATTTTGTACATTGTCTTTGTACATTATATCTGTGAGACAAGGCTAGCTTGCTTCTGTGGATGGGCAGCCTATACCACATGTTCCATCCTGATTCCAGTTCCCGTCCTTATTATGTTTTCTACCAGGTTTACTTGTCTCAGTACATCCACTTTTACCTGTCTGTCTTTGTTTTTCTTACCACCATCCCATATAGCTCTATGACTCTTTCCCTACTACCCTTTAATCTAAGAAATGTCACTTCCTTTATTAGTGTCTACTAGTTTTTGTATTTGGCTTTATTAAATTAACCACCATCTAAATGTCCATTATTTGTCTTTGTCATTCTGATGTGCCTTACTGCACATAATTCCCTTGAATCCTTCCATTTTGCTATAAATGACAGCATTTCACCTTTCCTTATGACTTAATATTTTATTTTGTGAATATACCACATTATCTTAATCCATCTTTCCCAGTGGGCACTTAAATCATTTCCATGTCCTAGTTATTGTAAATAATGCTGCAGTAAAGGTTGTAGTGCATACAATTTTTGAGTTGATGTTTTCGTGTTCTTTGGATAAATCCCCAGTAGAACAGATTTCTGGGTCATATGATATTTACACCATTAGTTTTTTTATAGTAAATCCAAAAAAGTAAATCAGTTTCCAAAGTGGCTGCATCAGTTTACATTCCTACCAACAGTGTAGTAGACTTCCTCTTTCTCTGCATCCTCTCCAGCACCTGCAATTATGGGTCCAGTTTATCTATGTATCTATGTGCATGTGTATGTGTGTGTGTATAT